TTAAGACGAACTATGTCCCTGTTGGATGGAAGAACTGACTAAGAACAAAAAGTACCCTGCTAGGAGGTAAGTAAGTTAATAAATGAATGAACGAATGAATGAATAAATGGGTGAGCGAGTGAAATATGCTAACGGCAAAATCATTTGGCCATTTAATAAGATCTTAGAGAAATTTTACTAAACAAACTCTCTTACACACACACACACACACACAAAATATGCATACGCATATACAAGGTTGTTAGAAAATTAAATTCGCTTACCAAGATCCTTTTGAAGAAAATTTCCCTTCTCTCCTTGTCTAACGTATAATCCTTATTTCACTTGTACAAAAAAAAAAAAAAAACTGTTCATATAAGTAATAAATTAAAATGATGATGAGACATAATTGTTAACGTTTCGTTTATCTCTTAGAATTTCTCGTTTTAAAATATGAAACACATTTCGAGAACTTTTCAATAACACTTTTACAAAACGAACATTTCTCGGTAGAAAAAACCAAAGAAATTGGAATAATGTGTTTAAATGAAAAGATATAATTTTAAACTTCGTATTGGAATTACTATTTCAAACTAATAATACCACTAACAAACTAAAACGTTTTTTTCTGATGATATCGACGAGTAAAACGACGTTCCACGTGACGAACGTGGCATGTTATCCTGTAATGTCCTCTCTATGCACCATGAATGTGCAGCACCAAAACATAGAACGGTGATCGATTACGTCATTCACCTTTTCTCGCCCCGTTAATCAAACCGAGGGAAGTGTCGTTCTCTATTGTTCTCTCTCTATCTATCTATCCTATATATCTTTCTCGTGAAAAATTAAATGAACAAATATATATGTATATATGAAACTAATGAAATAATAAAATAATAATAAATAGTAAATAAAATTCTCGTAATGTCGATGATATATGAATTAAATTGAATGAAAATATATTTAATAATATGAAATTAATAATAATGAACAAATAAACGAGTTAATCGATAACAAATTCTCTTTACGTGTTTAATTACCTGTCTATCATCAGGTGTTTCTCTCTTTGCGTGTATTGTTCCCTCTCATTAAGCATCCTTCGTACAAGTGTTTATTACTATTCGAATGTGATAGAGAAGTTGCATCGTTTCTGCATTTGAGATGCATACGAAATTGTACATTCACAGAAGAAGCTTTTTTTTCCCCGTGATTTAAACGTGTACAAAGTAGAGAAAAACAGAAAGGGAAAAAAAAGGGAAGAAAGAAAAGAAAGAAAGAAAGAAGGAAAGAAAGAAAAAGGAAAAATAAAAAGAAGGATAAAGAGAAAATGAGAATATGTACGCGCGTATTAAACGAGAAATAAGAAGACATTCTATCGCGTGGATGAGTTAGTCACGAACACATATACAAACGCACGCACACAAACACACCAGAGACACACATTATCTCTGAAAAAGCAAAACAATCGGCGTTGTTCTGTGCTTTCAGCATCCAACTGACACAACTCCATTCCCACAGAGTTCCGTGGTATTTCCGCTTTGCTTTTCCAACCAAGTGGATGCAATCGTTGTACGAAAGACTAATTGTAAAACGTATTCGACTAATTCTACTTGCATATAATGTACATACAAATATAATATATAATTCACGTATGTATATTATTGTCGTACGTAATAATAAGCTAAAGAGACAGATATCGAGCTTCATTCTCACGGATATATACTCAATCGAACCAATTCACCCCTATTGCGTTTATACAATCGATCTATCAAACGATTTTAAATGGATTTAACAATAATCATTGAAATAAATAGAATCAAATCTAATGGGATTTCCTGTTTTAATAACCATCCTTTTAAAAATATAATAATAAATAAATACAGGAATATATAATATTATATTTATATTATTACTATTCTTATTATTATTATTATAATAATTTTGTTGTTTTTTTCTCTAATTCCTTTGGTTTGTCCTATTATTATTATTATTATTATTGTTATTATTATTATAAATAACAAATCATATACATTTTCTATACTATTAGTTCACGTTTAACTTGAAAATATTAATAATTAAATAAGAAAAAATAATATTGTAATTAAAAATAAAAATCTCGTCAATCAATTACAAGAGTTCATCGCGCTAAAGCTACAAATCCAATAAAAGCTTTTTCTACATTTCCCCGTTCGAATGCATACGCGAAACCACCGTAAAGCTCCCACGGGCAAAGCACGATTTTCCATTCACGATCAATTCGACACGTCTACTTCTCCTACCAAACACACACACTCTCTCTCTCTCTCTCTCTCTTTCTTCTTTATTCTTTCCCTTTCTACCTTTTTTCATCTCTATTTATTTCCTTACTTCTTTCAAGAGTCTAACACAACACAACAACTCTTTCTCCTTAAGCAAATACTATGCTCAATCTCTTGCACTCTTAAGATTTTTCGACTTTTGGTATAAAAGATTGAAAGCTTACACAAGAGTTATCGCAATTGTGTTGTTATGTGTAAATTTGTTCAAAAAGTTTACTAAAAAAAAAAAAAAACATATTCACTTAATCCTATTTAATTTATAAGAGCTAACATTTGTATTTGCAAAACTATTGTTATCAATGTATATTTCTATGCAACTATTGTGTCAAATATTTTCTACCTACTTAAACGTAAAACAATAAAAAAAAAAAAAAAAAAACATATATAACATAAAATTAGAAAATAAATTTTTTTTAGAGAGAGCTTATAATGATTATTTACTTATAAAAAAGAAAGAAAAGAAAACCACACACACACACACACACAGAGTCTTTTTATATATTATAATATTTAATATAATATCACGTTGCTTCTATGGGAAAAAAATGATTCCTATATCAGCAGAAATCTCTTCGTCTTGGGATTTTAAATAAAAATGAAAAAAAAAAAAAAAAAAGAGAATTACTTATAGCTACCAAAAGAGCAAATTTCAAAGGATAATGATCCGTGCAATTATTCATCGCACACAAAATTACCCTTGATAGGGTCGTGTACTTTTTAGTCGATTCAACCGAGTAGAAGATGGTTGAAAAAAACAAACAAACTTGGCTAAAGAGAGAAAACCACTACGATTTCAATATTGGTCTATCTAGCTAGAAGATTTAAACTAGCATCAAGCAGCCAACATGATTCGCTGGGGACCAGCGAGTTTATTAACTCTTTCAACCACGCCACATTAGACTCACGAATATTGCTTCCTGGCATATGTCTTATACGATAGTATTAGTGTAATATTAATACTAACAGAAGGGATTATTTTTTATTGAATCTGATCGATAACACAACAATTATCTGTTTACACGCAAAAATCTGATATATATTTTCATTTTCGATACATATTAGAATAAATTTATAAAATATCTTCTAAAAATTTGTGTGTAATTGAATTTATTGAAAAAAAAAAAAAATACACAAACGTGATTCAATAAAAACTTTGATAATTATTATCTAAAAATATTCCGAATCAATTCTTCTTTCTACTTCGTATAAAATTTCATTTGAATATTATAAACAAAAGTAATAAATGTAATAAAATAAAATATGTAAATATAGAAATGTCTTTTTCTCTCTGTAAAATCTTTATACTGAAAAAAAATATCGTAGGTTCTCTATGGAACGTAGCAATAAAAAACTATGTTCGATACAATAACCTTAGATAATAGTAAGAGCATAGAAAATATATTTCCAGACATTTATGAGGGGTAAAAGGAAGTTATTCAAGAAAGTCCTTCGATCGTTGAGTCACGGACGATGGTGATTCACCGAATCAATGGAAACATAAAAACACGTATAAGAACATAAAAAGAGTATGTATATATATATATATATATATATAAGAATGAACGTGAGAAACGAGGATACATTCATCTATCCTCGGTATATATTTATGTATATATGATATATATGTATGAATAAATAAAGAAAAAAAAAACATAAGTATAATAAAGCTTGGCAAAAGACAAAAGATTACAAGTGGACTGGTGTAACATAAATTACACACATACGTATAAATATATATATATATATACTGAGGTTCTTTCATGGAAGGAACGATAGTCGAGTACAATGAACCAAGCACTTGGAACAGCTGATCGTATAGCAATAGCATAGCAGAATATTACAAATATACTATCCTCAAAAAACTACTTTTAATATAAGATCTGAGTTATAAGGTATCTCATTTATATATTCTGATAGATATTTTAATATCTTTTTTATATTGAAAATTCCGACGTTACTTATTGGTCAACCCAATAGATAGATTGATATAAAACGTGAATCACATTTTTTGTCTATATATGTATAAACGATTAAAACTGAATCACGATCTAACCGATGTTTTCTAGTAATTTCTTTTCAACAAAGAACCGCTGACAAGTTTTGACGAGTAAAATTGTAACTCGACGGAGATAAAAAGTTGCTTTCATTTATCAAAATGCGAGAACGTATTTCTCATCGGACAAAAATCGATGAAGCATTCATATCAAACTCTAACTATATATTATATCTTTTACCATTCATCACGAATATATACCGATCCATTAAACGCGATCTATAGAAACTAACGATAAATTGTAAGAACGTATATTATATCAAAGTAAAGAATTTTCCAAGTTATCTGAAAAACTGTGTATTAAACTTCTCGATCGACCCTATACCAAAGATAATCTTCTAAAGTACGTTATATATTATCGTAGAACAAAAAAAGTTTCCTCTACCCAGCCAATCAGCCACCAACACATATGGCATTTGACAGTGATCGAAAAGAAATGAAGAAGAAAAAAAATCAATAACGCGAATAATAAATGACAAGATCCAAGTGTTAAGAAAGCACAATGGTCTTAAAATAATTCATCTCAATATTATCGAGATAATCAAATACGACACGTTAATCGTTATTTAAATAAACAAACAAACAAATACATGCGATTTAAAAAGCAAACAATTGGGATGGGGGGAGGTGGAAGTAAAAAATCCAACCTGTTTCTTTAACGGTGTAGCATATTCGTCTCTGCTTCTCTCGAATCTTTCAAACTTGAAACTATTACTCCTGTAAAGTTCGTTGTCACTCTGTTGTCGTCTGCATAGTCTCCTGGTGAATGCCCGTGGCCGGCATGGCGCACATTCGGAGGCGAGCTCCCAGTGCAAGTGCAACATCGCGAGCTCAGCCGTGCATCTGGCCATCGCGCAACCAGCACGCCTAACTCGATATTTAACTCGTTTAATACGGCCCTCGGTTTGTGGTTTATGAGAGCATGGTCGAGTACCAGCAACGCTTTCCTCGTCATCTTCGTCGATGTTTACCGAACTTTTTCCGCATTCGCAGGTTGCGCGAGTAGCCGTTGCTGTACGGCGTCCATCAGCTGTTGTTGTTGTTGTTGTTGTTATCATCATCATCCTTGACTCGTGTGAGCAAGGTTTTGATTGCTCGTCGCAGTCGCACTCGCACGGCGCCTCGCCACCGTCTGTGCGAGTCTGCTCGACAATTGAGCTCAATGTTCTCTCCTGTTGCAACGTTCCCACATTTATCGATTGCTGTTGCTGTTGCTGTTGTTGTTGTTGTTGTTGTTGTTGTTGCTGCTGTTGATTCGTTTGATTTGACGATCCAGCAAGAGGTGATGAAGTCCCCAATCGACGTTGCTGCTGTTGTTGTTGTTGTGAGACAACAGTACCATTGGTCGTATGTCGACAAGGTCTCTCCGTGCATTCGCATCTAAAACAAAAAATCAAGATTGATTGATTAATTTAATTAAAATCGTTAAATATTTATATCGTAATAGAGTATATTTGATAATGTAATAAGATAAAAAAGCAATCGTTTTAACAATTCCTATCAATTTTACTAGCCATTCCTAAAAGTAATTTTGCGCATTTCACATTTATCATAAAAATAATCTATCAAAATGTATCGTGTATCATTTTACGTATCATTAGCCAGGAATGTCGATATGCGCGCACATACACACAAGTAATAAGAGGGAGAATTACACTCGCGCGCATGCACATGCTCGTAAAGCCATCCATATATATAATATATATATACATATATATAAAGGACCTCACAGCACACACGTATATACGCTCGACAGGTCCTTTAAGCCGCTTCACGCTCGAGACGAGTGAGACAAAATTTCGGATTTCAACCCTCAACATACAAGATATGTCTTCATGGTCTGATGCAAGCAAACACTTGGGCGTTCATCCCTTAAATGTAAAACTCGAGGTGCTACAAAAGACTTGTTACCGCAATGAGTACTTTTATTGTCTTAGAGATAACATTCTGTTGAAAAATAATCGAGGACAATAGATAAGACATTTTCTTTCAAAAAATCAATCACACGTAAGGACGAAACTATCGAGAATATAATACAGTTATCAAATAATCCTTTATCGACGAAGAAAAATCTCGAGAGTGTAGCAGCTGATCAGGTACAGGATACTATTGACATTCTTACGCGCGAAATTACAAATGTATCCAAATCTTTATATGCAGTATCTAACATAAATTTGTGCAAATAACAAAAAATACAAAAATAAGCAAAATAATAATCAAAACATTACAAAATTATCAAATCATATAAAAAATGTCAACGCAATTAAAACGAAAGCATTAAACTTACAGAAAACGACCATTATTATTAGGATCTAAAAAAAAATTAAAAGAAAAGATAAAATCGATGCATTCGTAAAGATATCCGAAATAAAGAAAAACAAAAGAGAAAATAAATTCTCTCACCTTCTGACCCTTTGCGAAGATCCAGGAGCGCGGAGTGCGTCGTGAGGACAGGGTTGCAATTCGTTTGGACAGTTGCAGTTGCCTATCGGTTGCTGTCTCGTACGACGAACTCTTATTAATACAGGATGTACCGGACACGGTTGAACTTGGCAAGCACATACGATTGTTTGAGGATCTCTAGATCTTCGAGATCCACTGGCACCACGCTTCGCGCGTTGATCCACGTGCAACTGACATGGTTGCACGGGGCAGCCGCAACGTCCTACGGCACTGCGACGCCCAACACCTTGTACGCGTCTCCAAACCCGCTCCATTCAACGACCGGCGTGCAACTGACAATTGTACGCCCCATACCATTCGGTCGGAACCACTTCGGTTAGCTTCGGTAAGTTCCGACTTAACATTCGTCTCTTCGACGAACTCAACCTCGAGAAGTAGGGATGAACTGTCAAGCTCCTCACAGCTGTATACTGATGACGATATTCTCTTTCTGCTTTCGTTCGTCACGTAACGATGGAAGAACGTAGTACATATATATATGTATATATATAAACACATGTGAAGATGTATCGAAGCCTCAATGCCTTCATAGAATCTTCAAAATATATTTCCTTTTAATGTAATACATAGACGACAGTGTAATGTATATGTATAATATATTTTTTTTTATTATTTACGTGTTCATTAACTTCGATCGAAATCAATTTTTTAATAACGAATGTGATTTACTATATGCCTTTTCTCGTATGATGTTTCTTTTATATACAAAATGTTAGTATGCTTTTATTAATAGTTTTTTTTTTCACAAGTACCGGTATTATACATATTATATAAGAAAACGGAATTCTGGAATATAGAAACAATATTAAAAGGTACGTTTTTCTTTTTGATTTAGATTATTATGAAGAGTGAGGATTGATCTTTTTTTTACATAATTACATAAAATATATTACAAATATATATGAGTGTTCCTTATGTACCTTATCATTTGTTTTACTAAACTATTCCTAATCTAGTTTTTCATCAATTAACTCGTGTTGTACTTAATACGGAAGAGGCAAATATTTGTTGCAATATTCGTGGAATATTTTGTAAATCCATACAAACGTAGGCACGTCCGGAAGGCATCTTTTTGATCAATCTACAAATAAACGAAAATAATGAAATTAATGAAATTAACGTAAGCTAAAAATAAAATAAATGATCTATACGAACCTTGTCGCTTGATCACCTAAAGAACCGATAAAAATAGCATATGCGTTAACGTCCGAATTCGAAGTAAGTACTTTAGCAAATATTTCTGGTCGAATTCCATAACGTTCTAAATTTGCATCGGAAAGTACGACAACTATCGATTCGTCAGAATCTTCTTTTGCTAAACTAGAAATAGCATATTGTGTTGCTTCTAATGTATTGTCACCGGACATACAAAATTGTGAATGAGCGTGCATCGTCTGAAATATGATTAGGATAAAACCAATTGCAATAATAATAATAATAATATATTATATCGTAACTCATGTTAGATTAAAATTCATCCGATATCTTACTTTAATTACTTCTAATCTTCGTTTATTATCAACTGGCGGATTAGCACGATCCACAAAAAGAATACGATAATCATCTCCGGAATGGCCAATAATATCATATTGAAATTTATCTTCGTAACCACTGAACGACTCCATCACCATAACGCAAGCTTCCATTTCACGATCTAATCGTCCATCGTAACCATTAAATCTGTACATGCTACCGGACACATCCACAACTAATTTAAGTCTTTTAGGTTTTAATTGGGGAGTACCAATCTCTGGTTCTTTTTCTGATCTACGTCGATAAATTGTTCTTTCGCCGGTTAAACCTTCTATTAATTTTGTATCATCCAACTCGCCGGACGTTTGATGTCTACACCATTGACGTTCGTTACTTTTAGCTTGTAGACTGCCTAAAAAGCAAAAAATAATCAGATATTGATCAAACATAACATTAAATGTTAACAACTTACTTAATATGATTCTTAATGCTTGAACTTGTTTAGCAACTGCATCACTAAATCGACTATAAAGTTTATGATCGTATTCGCTCATACTGATATCCTTTAAACGTTGCTTAAAAGCACGCAAACCCATTTCACGTGCTGCTTTTTTTATATGTTCAGGAACTGCATTTTTTTCCTCGTCGCTAAGCTGATGAACAGTGTGACCAGCATCCAAACGATATGGACCACCCTTTCCACCGAGTCCAGCCGTGTCTCTACCTACAATTTTATACAAAAATTCTTTAATTAATTATTCTTCCAATCTGATATTTCCCCCCTCCCCTCCAATTTGATATTTATTCAAAATCAAACGTACCTCCTGTTCCACCGGCCCAAGTATTCCCACCAACGTGAGGATCGTTCTTCTCGTCGATCTTTCCGTGTTTCGGACTACTCACATCTTGTCCTGAATATCTTTCCTTTGTTATTTGTATTTTATCTTCGTCAGATCCAATCATTTTTTTCCAAGAACCTAAGGACTTTTCTATATTCATTAAAGATGTTTCCCATAATCTAATGCATCCACTAACGTCGACAGTTACTAGGCCATAATTCGAAGTAGATGCGGCAAAAATTGGTAACTCTTTACCGTACAACCATTCAGAAATAGGAGAGACTCTGACAAGTCTAAATAATAATACAAATGATTATCACCGTCAATTTAAAATAAACTTCAAAATAAAATATGTAACAATTAACTTACTCTGGTATAGGAATGTATCGAACTTTACGATTAACAGTATTAACAACTTCTAAATAACCAGAAATTCCAATATGTTTTTTATCACTAGGAAAAACTTCTTCAGGTACTTGCTCAGTAGAGATCGTTCGTATAACTTGACCATCGTTCGTTACGATAGGTGCAGTAAAAATATTTAATCGTCTTTTTCTAGGCCAATAATGTAATTCATTATCACTGTCCAATTCAGGGAATCCAGTAACAATACCAGCATAAATATTATTAGTGACCAAAAGTCTGTTAGGAGAATCAATTTTCTGTTGCAACGCTTCGCTGAGTATATTTGGATGTAAATTTTCTTGAGCACAACTCAGGAAGGAACTTTTCTTCAAAAAATTACTATTTGACTCTTGAATTTCTCGCAAAACGTTTGGGCATGGTTGAGATTCCACAGACTTGCCCAAGATGTATTTATTCTTGGATGTATCCTGTATCAGCCATTTATTCGCAGACGCAAGCAATATCGATTCCACGTCACACGGTAAGTTGATCGAATAGATGGTCATATTATCCAAGTTAACAACTTCCATCTTATTATTGTTAGGAAGAAAAAAGACTAATTGATTTTTCGAAGCAATCAAGTCCGGTAACATCTTCCAATTTAAATTCTGACGTCCCAAAGAATTAGTAATTTTATCAACAGTTTGTTCCAAAACCGAAAACAATTTAACTTCTTGGATGGATGCATTATCCGTATTTATCATAAGTAAACTATTACTCTACAAAACAAAATTTATGATTGATGTGAATTACAATGAATATAAAAAATTATTACAATTTTCTTTTGTTTAAAATTTTATAACTTACACTTCCTTCGTGTACAAAAACATTTCCAATTTTGTCGGATGCTATTGTATAAAGTGATGGCTTATGATTTCGTTCTTTAATTAAACCGTGTATTTTAATTCCTTGAATTGTTTCAGACTCTAAATTCATAGTAAACAGAGTTAAAGGATTTGCAGTAAGCACGTGTACTTTATCATCTGTGCCATCTTCTTTTGTTCCCTTAGTAACTGTCAAAGACACGACTAGACCACTTTCGTTCAATGGTACAGTCCAATAACTTTGTAACTCGGTGAACCAAGCAGATCTTGCTTCAACTCGATCTAACACATAATTATTTTGAACTGGATAAGAGAATGTTTTCAATTTGATGTATCTCTCTTGAACGGGCACAACCTTGGATGTGCTTAAAACGTTCCAACTACCACAGACCTTGATTTCTGGTAAAGATATTCTGAAAGGAAAAGGAATAAATAATAAATTGTACATTTTACTGTTAATAATTTATTTGATTCTAAAATATATAAATTGTTTGTTAATTCTTTATACTATATTAATCCGTAATTTTAATATAAACAAATTTTTTTTTTATTTATATATATAATAATATTTTTACAAAAATGAAATTATTATATAATATAAAATAAAATTGTCTTACTCTTTCGCTAATGCTATATTATTTGGTGAAGTTCCAACAGGAATGCCATGTTTGTGTAAGACAGTTACTAATGTATCAAAAACTTCTGGACTGTATCGATCGAAATCAAATACGTTTCGGACTACTACAGGTAAAGTTTCGTTTGGAAATTTCTGAAATACGATAGTGTAATTATTTTTTAATGAAATAACATTCTATCGATCTCAATGAATAATCTATATTACTCGACTCACCTCTAAATGTTTGACGATATTGACGACTTCTCGAGTCGAATAGGGATAAGAAACCAAACCTTGATCAGCCATACTTCTCAATTCGCCAAAAGCTTTGACCAACTTATGTATTACTTTGTCATCAACATTTGGGCCATATTGTTTCAACAATTTAATTTCATTTTCCATACTAGGATTATCAACAGAATGTGTACTAAAGAGATCTCCCAAGGCACCAAAGAAATCATTGCCCAAAAATGGGAATCCAGGTCTGTTTGCAAGAACTATCATTCTAAAATCTGGATGAAGTGGTATTCTTCCGTTAGAATCAGACATTCTAGCGTTAGATGGAATGATTCGCCTACCATCCGATAAAATCATTTCGCCGGATTCAACCAAAGTCTAAAATCAAAGATTTCAATAGAAATTTCTCAAAATTACTTGAAATTCAATAACAATATTTTCGTTCAAAAAATGTAAAAGCTTTTGGCTTACTTTTAATATATAGGTCACATGTATCGGAGCTTTATCGGCTTCATCAACAACGAGAACATGTCCAAGTTTAACCGCTTGAACAAGAGGAGAATCCTCATAAACGACTTTACCGTCTCTAACCATAGGTTGCAGAGTCAAAGTTTGAACAGTGGTATCCCTATGCAACTGAATATATTCCCGAGGTCTGTTCATCAATTGCAACAATCTATCGACTATTTTATTTTTACCGACACCTTGATTGCCAACAAGCAAAAGATTATGTCCTAATATAAAATCTTGAAGCAAATTTTCCAACAAAGCAAGATGCTGCGGTACATCGTAAAACAAAATGTCCGGTACTTTGCTCAGCGACGAAGTATTATACCTATCGACTATAGTATTACCAATTTTTACTGTTTTATCGTTAACTTCGTAATCGATCTTTGAAAGATTTTTATTATCTTTTATAGGAATTATATTTAATCGATTCAAACAATCATCGAGAGCCTGCTTTGTCACAGTTGGTAAGAA